GAAAAAACATTATCAGTGCAATTGAAGTTTCAAGAAATTGAGTCGGGAAAAAGGTTTACATACATTACGTGAATTTGGTACCATCTTATTCAGGACTATCCTATAATTCTTGAGAAGACAATTCTTAATAGTCTTATATTTTGCTATGACTATTAACAAATGTCAAGGTCAACATTATCTTTTGATGTATTAATTTTAACCAATTCAGTATTTACTCATGGAAAACTTTATGTTACAGTTTCATGAGTGAAGACAAAAACATGATTAAAGATATTTGTTCTAGATGACAATGGAAACCTTTACAACCATACAAAAAAATGTTGTGTACCCTGAAGTCTTTCAAAAAATTTAAAATTCAAAAAGATTTTTTTAAGTACATTTTCAATTTCTCAAATACTATTTATTCTACTTTGTTGTTGTTTTTTTCATTGATTAAAAATCATGTTAGAAATATATTTACTTGATTCTGGAAAATTTATTATATCACAAAAATTCAGAATTGATAAAAATTTTGATCGATCCCGTGCATCCAATGGGTCAAAATACTAGTACTAGTATCCTTTATATATATAAAGCAGAGTCGGAGCTGCAGGAACGCGACATTTGGCAAAGCTGGGGAGTGATAATTTTTTAATTTATTCTTTCCTTAGTTTAATTTATTCATGCATTCTTTCCTTAGTTTAATTTATGCTACGGCTTCAATTGATAATTTTTATTAATCTGAATATTGCCAAATTCTTAGGCTTCAATTGATAATTTATGCTACGCCAATAAAAGGGTATTAATATCGTAAATGTTTAAAAATAAAAATAGAATGGAAATTTGTTTGAAAAGAAAAAAAATTTTGTTTCTGAAATAAAAAAAATTAAAATTTTCATTTAAAAATTTTAAATTTCTGTTTCAAGAGATGTTTTGTCATTACATAGGGTAATTGTGATGTTTACATGGTAAGTAATAAAAGGCTATTAATTTTCATTCCAATAATATTTTATTACGTAAATGTTCAACTCAATTTTTTATTTCACGCCAATAAAAGGGTATTTATACCGTAAATATTCAAAAATAAAACTAGAATGGAAATTTGTTTGGAAAGAAATATATTCTGTTTTAGAAATAAAAAAATTAAAATTTCCGTTTAAAAATTTTAAATTTCCGTTTCAAAAGATGTTATGTCATTACATATGGTAATTGTGATGTTTACATGGTAAGTAATAAAAGGCTATTAATTTCCGTTCTAATAATATTTTATTACGTAAATGTTCAACCCAATTTCTTATTTCACGCTAATAAAAGAGTATTAATACCGTAAATTTTCAAAAATAAAAATAGAATGGAAATTTTTGAAAGAGAAAAATTATATTTCAAAAATAAAAAATATTAAAATTTCTATTTAAAAATTTTAAATTTCCGTTTCAAGAGATGTTATGTCATTACATATGGTAATTGTGATGTTTAGTTACAAAGTATTAAAAGGCTATAAATACACGCCAATAAAGGCTATTAATACCGTAAATGTTCAAAAATAAAAATAGAATGGAAATTTGTTTTGCAAGAAAAAAATTATGTTTCAAAAATAAAGGCCAAAAGGTAAGAATTAAATATTCTTACCGTTTAAATATTCTTACCTTTTCAAAAATTTCTTCAGAAACAAAAAAATTTCCGTTTCAAAAATATAAAAAAATTCGTTTAAAAAATAAACCCTTTGTACTATGATTAGCCTTTTAGAATTATATACTATAAATACAGTCCTTTACAGAGCCTTCGTAGTAAGATTATTCAACGTGTGTTTTTATTCAGTGCTTCAACATCGCCATTTTTACGAGCATGAGGATTTTAACCGACTTAAAAAATGTTGATGAGAGGTCAGCGCTATTAATGATGAAGGGCATGTTTGGGAATAGCGTTAGAGATTAGCGTTAGCGTTTTCAAAAGGCTATCTACAGGCAGCGTTTAGCGTTAGCAATTTCAAATTAATCTGCACCGTTAAAATTTTATCCAAAACGCTAATGCTAATCTCTAACGCTATTCCCAAACAGGCCCAAAACTAAGAACGATAAGAGTTTATCATGTTCCTGCCCATTCTCGACGGCCGGAATCATTGGATATTATTTTTCATGACTCAGAGGTTAGTTCTTCATTATTTTATATTTTACATATCTTTATATATAAAATTTGAGAGTTAGGCTTCTAGAATTGTGATATGTGGCGCGCTTATTGGGCAATTTTTTTGACATGTCAGCACGCCATGTCATCAAGTTATATTTAAAGAATTAATTAATAAAAAAACTTATTCTATGAAAATTAAATTTTGTATTTGTTACACACAAATTTCTCAACATAATCGCGTTTAAAACTTTTATATCTTAATTCTTTTTTGGAAAATATTTAAATTAAATAATATATTTTGTAATTGAAAAAAGAACTCATAT